CCCCCTCCTTTCTTCTCAAAGAAAATGCTACATCATTTTTAAAGCTTTGATGCAACATAGAATTTAAAACAATTTATGCCACATTTTTGAATATTTAGAAATGTAATAAACAGGCTAGACAGCACCTGCTTTTTAATTGGCCATATTCTTTTAATATGACCTTTTCAGTGCATGAATGTTTTCAATGACTCACCACAAGCCTTTATCTGCACATTTTCTTAAAAGTTTCCCTGACTTTTGCCATTTTGGCAAAAACAACATTTTGGTTATGTAGTAATTGTTTTTATTTCAATTAACAAAAAACAGATAATTGGAAAACATTTGGTAGTGTGAGTACCTAGATTATTAAACAGCAGATCTGAGTGTTTGAAGACAAAAATCTTTAAAGGCAAACTAACTGAAAACATTTTACTGACTCTTTCCTGGTTTTGTCGAGTGTATATTTCTAGCAGTTTCTAAAAATCTTACATTAAGCTGTGGTGCTTAGCTTTCATAGTGACCATAATGTGAATAATGTCCCCAGGTAATTACTCTTAGTGAAAAAATCCATCCAGAAACTCAGAAAAAAACATTTTTAGCCTTGCAGAACAATTAAAAGGTGATTTGAAACAACAGTATTTTGTGAGTAATTGACTCTTCTGGGTGGTGTTAAGTGTGTACTCCAGTACAGTCACAGGTCTGAAAGGGTTACTCTGATGTCATCCACAGGTATACCAAGAGAGTCTGATTTTGTCTATATAGCTGTGATTTTGATCACTGGAACAAAGCATGTTCATTTGTTCTAAAACAATGCAGTTCGGTCTTCTTATTTTTGTATCTTTGGGAATAGTTGGGTTAACAGTTACTGAAATTGTGCCCACATGCAGACTCAGAGAAGAATTTAACTTGTATGGGCTGTATAAAGAAGGGGATATCATTTTGGGTGGGATATTTGAAATCCACTTTATAACAGTGTATCCTGAACTGTCCTTTACTGCTAAGCCTGAGCCATTGAGCTGTGAGCGGTGAGTGAATATATTGTACTGCTCCTTGATAGAATGTCTGTGACACAGTTTCCTGACACATTAGAATATTTGTTATGTTATGAGCTAAAGCATTGTCTGCACAGTACATGTTAAGGATGTAGATACTGCAATTCAGCTCAGGGATAACTTCAAATTGAACTTAAGTACAGTTGATGAAAACATAAAGATCACATTTTGTTTGGTGTTTTTTTTAAGTTTCTATTTTTAAATCATTTTTACATAATATTTTATGTGGCTTAAAGTAAGATTTTATTTGTCTCATGCTAATGCATGAGACAGAAGATTTGTTTGAATTCATTAGTTGTTTTGTTTTTAACCAATTGTTTCTTCTTTCAGTTTTCACTTTACAGGGTTTCTGGATGCACAGACCATGGCTTTTGCTATTGAGGAAATAAACAGAGACCCTGCTCTTCTCCCTAACATCACACTGGGATACAGGCTGTATGACAACTGTGAGAACCTGGCAGTAGGTCTTCGGGCAGCAACAGCTCTGATCAGCGGAGAGGATGATTCTGTCACTGACTACAGCTGTA